ATAGGACTTGAGGACCTAAGGGTGCCACTAAAAACTCGCTTTTTCCTGTGACATGGATTCGAACTATTACTCTGCCGACAAACACAGTCAATTTCGGGATTAAGACCCCGATTACAGTCAAGGGAATTAGAATGATCCGAATTACCCCAAATGCTTTTTTACATGGTTGAGAGTGGCCTCAGAGTTTTATTCAGTATATCGCAACGGTTCATTCATCCATCGAAATATTTTCAGGTTCCATGAACAAGACTTTGAGCTATCGAATGGTATAGTTTTTATTCATATGACAATGGATAAAAAAAAAAGTTATGAGTTGGGGAAAAACATTACAGCTATTTTTGCTGGAGTGATCGGAATTACCCGGACTAGTTTGATTGACTGATCCGAATTATCCCAATTGGGGTAATTCGGATCAGCTCGCACCCCCTCTCAGCATTTTTGCTATTACTTTTTTCTAGTACATGCTTTTTCAGAGATTCTTTCGTCAGTTGATAGAAGACACTTTGATCTAGTTATGATAAAAAAATCAACTTTCTACAAAGTAAGGTGAATGAGAACGAAAAAAAATAAAAAGAAATTTTTAATTTTTGATCAGAATTACCCCAACAGACTCTAATTGACTTTTTAAATTCTGTTTTTTTTTTCTTTTCAAATATAGATTTTATTCGATTTGAAAATCGTATTGACGAACGTCGAAGTAAAATGACAGGTGAAATAGCTGGTAGTACAGGTAGTTTAAAAACATCAACAAAACGACAATTTTTTGTTCGGTAAAGTTTTGTTTTTTTGTTGTTGTGAACAAAAAAAAAAAAAAACGTTGAAATTTTCTTTTCTAGTGCTGAATTTGATTATGATCCTTCGAAAGATCCAAGTATACCAGGTGATCGTGGTTTATCATTTCGTACAGGTGATATACTTTATGTAACAAATGCAGCTGATGATTCATGGTGGCAAGCTAAACGTATAACTGATGGACAAGAAGAAGAAGAATTAGGAATAATTCCATCGAAATCTCGAGTAGAAAAAAAAGAACGTGCTAGACAAAAACGTGTTAATTTTAATCAAGGAAGTGGTAGTCGAGTAAGTATTCATATTTAAATAAATATCTCTACTTTTTTTGTTTTTTTGTAAAGAGTAATACACTTGATCGAGACAAAAAGAAAAAGAAAAAATTTGGTTTATTTGGAAAAAGTGTTGATAGAAAAGATACACAATCAGGTGATGATTCAGACAATGAACAAGATAATCTTGAACCTGTACCATCATATGAATTGGTTACTCAACATGAAGGTAAATATTTGATATAAATTAACTTGAACAAGTAAAAAAAAAAAAGAATGACTTATCTTATGATAAACCGGATAGTCATTTTATTACAGGAAATCAAAGTTCCTTTTTTTATTTCTTGTCAACAAGGAATCAAACATTCAGTTTTATTTCCGAATATTAAGATAAAGGTTAAGAGTATCCTTCTCGCCTTTCGTGACCCTTAATTTTTGTTTGTTTTTTTTGTGGCTATTGTATAGTCATATTCAAAAATTGTCTTTAAACATTAAAAAATCAAACTAGTGAAAACTGTACATGGTTTCACATTTCTTCACTCGGAGAAACATACAACTTTTGCTCTACTCGTCAAGATTTACCTCATTTTTCTGATGAACAGTTCTTTATAAAGCTCGAAAAGAGACATTCTCTTAAGCATGAAATAACTTTATGTTTGCAAGTTCTACTTGCAATGATATGAGTCCTATGATAAATTATTTTTTTTTGTCAATTTTTTGAATCAGTTATTTGTCTCGGTGCAAAATCTGCCGCTAAAATGAAAAATTTTCCCTGTTATTAGAATAAATGCAAAGCTGAATTCACTGTTTCACTTATACTTTCAAAAAGAGCGAAAGAGAGAAATCGATTTATTTAACACACATAAAAAAAAATCATATAAAATATCAATTTTGAGCTGTTTCGTTGGTTTCTATTAATAAATAAATCATAGAAGTTGTGTACGCAGAGTGCTACACAAGAAACATTTCGTTATTTGAATTCCCAAATAAGAAAAAAATTCCTAAAAATTTCTCCAACACTTGAGACATTTTCCTTAACGCAAGATTCCGTACCCCTGATTATTCGATTTGTTGTTTTTTGTGTTGAAATATATTTTCACGGTTCGAAAAATGTAATGAATATATATTGAAAATCCGTTTCTTGATATTCAATTCTGTGTGAGACATATTAAAATAATAATTAATAATTTTTATAATACTCAGCGTGATTTAACTTCATTAGAGAGAGAACTAGTGTTCCCTACCAAGAGTAAAAAAAACAACATAGTCTTCAATTATAGAAATTCATATTATGTTTCGAAAGGTGACGTTCTATTGTGAGGGGTAGATTTTTGCTAACATTTATCTAGAAAACCAAAGGTTTTTAAAAAAAAAAGTTTTCTAATATTCAAACAGGCAGCTAAGTGCAAAAAAACACTTCGCTCGATTTCCTGAAAAAAGCTTTAGAAAAATCATTGGCTTTTTTACTTTTTCAAATTGCTATTTATATAAGAGCATAGGAGTGAAAACCTGAGCAGGTTTATTGTATTCAAGATGTAAGGATCCAGTTAAATTAGCATTATAATTTATCTAAGAATTCCTTGGACGACAGAGATGAAGGTATTACGAATTGATCAATCTGTTTTATCTGAATTTATGTCAAATGAAAGTTTTAAGCTGAAATTATTTTTTTTTTAATAAAACATTTCCTTTTGTTTTTTAGTAAATCATACAAGACCAGTTATTATCTTTGGTCCATTTAAAGAACTTATTAATGATCAACTTCTTAATGATCATCCAGATAAATTTGCTAATTGTGTACCTCGTATGTATTTATAAGATTTGAATAATATACAAGAAAAAAAAGAAAATGAGATATTTTATTTTTTTAGATACAAGTCGACCTAAACGTGAAAAAGAAGTTGATGGACGTGAATATTATTTTGTTCCATCACGTGAACAAATGGAAAGAGATATACAAAATTATTTATTTATTGAAGCTGGAGAATATGGTGGAAATCTTTATGGTACAAGTGTTAGTGCTGTTCGAGAAGTTGCTAATGCTGTAAGTTATTTAATTAAATGAAATAAATAAATAAAAAATATTATTATTTTTTTTTTTTGTTTGCTAATTTTAGTCTAAACATTGTATTTTGGATGTAAGTGGTCATGCTATACGACGTTTAATTACAGCTGGTCTTTTTCCAGTTGCTATCTATGTTAAACCACGTGATGTTAAATGGATTTTGTAAGTTAAAAATTTGAATTTATTTTTTTTTTTCGCTCTATGAAAATATTCTTTAATAGGGATAATATGGGAGATGAAGCAAATGAAGAACGTGCTCAACAAATGTATGAAAAATCAATAAAAATTGAACAACAATTTGGCGATCTTCTTACTGGTATGTCAAATGATTTGAATTTAAATTGTAAATAAAAATTATTAATTTTTTTGTTTTTAGCTGTTATTGAAGAAGAAACATTAAATGATGTATATGATCAAACATGCGCAGTTATTGATCGCGAACAATCACTTGAATATGTATGGGTACCATCAAAAGAAAAACTCTAATGTAAATTTTCATTTTTTTTTCTACTGATTTCTTAAACTCATGTCTTTTTTTTTTTGTCTAATTGGAATAATACGTTTTTTTTTTTTTTTGTGCACCGATCTTGATCTGCTATATTCATTATGTAGATGTATCTTTTTCTCTTTCACATTTATTTGTCTGCACCGTGTAATCTCTTTTTTCTTATAGTATTTTCTTGTTGAATTTGATCTATATTTGCAACAAAATGCAAAATTGTTTTTTTTTCTTTTGTTTGTTTATGTGTGTATTGAAAACGAATGCCAACTATAAAGAAAAATGATTAGATTATCATGAACGTGTTTTTTCCTGCGCTCTATCTTCTTTTTCTCTCTCTCTCTTTGTTTGTGGAAAATTAACATTTTGAATGAATGGTTTTTTTTTCTCTCTTGAATTACATGCAAAAAAAAAAAATGAAAGTTTGGTAGTAAAGAGAAATTAAATAAGTAGCATAAAAATATTCGGTTTGTTTTTATTGATATTATATGTAGATGTATCGATTGAAGACATCTTTTTTTCGGCATTTATCCTTGTTTCAACGAGGCTCAGTTATATCGAATATTGGAAGATATCAATCAATAAGTCATACATGTGATGGTGAGCTTTAATTAGAAATAGATTACTTTTTCATTAACTTTTCAATTTTGAATAGTCGAAGATGCTCTTGATGAAGAGCACAAAGCTATTCAACAAACAGCCTATCAATTTGGTCAAACTGAAATGGCACCTTTTATGTACGAATGGGATCGAACAGTGAGAAAATATTTATGTTGATTAATAAATATCTTTTGATATATGCAAATTCAGGAATATTTTCCAAAAGATACCCTTCGAAAAGCAGCTCAACTTGGTTTTGCTGCAATTTATTGTCGAGATGAATATGGTGGAACCGGTGGAACACGACTTGATGCATCAATTATTTTCGAAGCATTATCACAAGGTTGTGTTAGTACAGCAGCTTATCTTAGCATACATAAGTATGCAAAAAAAAAAAAAAATATTAAATTAGTTTTTTTGATTATGAGTATTTTGTTTTTAGTATGTGCGTATGGATGATTGATGCATTTGCATCGGATGCAAATCGTGCAAAATGGATACCACGATTAGCTACTATGGAATTATTTAGTTCTTATTGTCTTACAGAACCTGGTTTGCATATTTGCATAGTTTTCTTCTTCTTGATTAATAATCTCATCATTTTTATTTGTTTTGCCCTTTATCTAACTTTCGTGACAATAAATATCGTTCATGACAAGATATCGCAACTTATGATAAACTAGAAAAATGACTGTGACCACCGTGAATGTCACAGGATGCTTTTCTTCGTTGTACACTGAATTTTATAGAATATTTTCATTCATTCATCCTGTTTCGCAAGATTATCTTTTCATTGCTTTTTTTGACAAGGACATTAAACTTGTCTGTATATGAGATACAATGTCAAATATCATAGACCCTCTATTGATACAAAAAATGTTGTCAATTTGATTTGATGATAAACATATTTGTCTTTGAGTAAATGTCAATCTAGCTGATCTAAATAATCTTTCCATCGAAGCACTAATCGCTGTTATGACATGTACTTTTCTCGCTATTATTAATGATAATGAAAAATCATGACGAGTTTCACTAATAGACTAGCGCTTCATTGAATTAGGATCAATTCGATGATTTGGGTTTCTTGCATCCTAAAAAACGATTGACCTGTTTCTGCAAGTGTAAGACCAGTATAGGACAAAATAAATTATTTGTAGGGCACGCGTTCTGTGACGTTCTCTGGATCGTAACTAAAAAACTTGGTCACGCCAGACACGCATCATTACAAATTATCTTTGTAGAGCACTGTTAGTAAATGATTTGCTCTTAAGTAATATTGAGTAGTCACTCGTTGTGAAAAGTGTGTCGTTCACTTCAAGAAACCAACATGGAGATATCATAGATATAAAGGAAACCTTTAAGAGAATATCGAATTTCATATATTTTGTTCACATGTAAATTTTCTTATTATGTTTAGGATCTGGTAGTGATGCTGCTTCATTAAGTACACGAGCTGAACGTAAAGGTGATAAATATATTTTAAATGGTAGTAAAGCATTTATTAGTGGTGGTGGTGAAAGTGATATTTATCTTGTTATGTGTCGAACTGGTGATCAAACACCAAAAGGTATATCATGTATACTTGTCGAAAAAGATACACCGGGACTATCATATGGAAAAAAAGAAGAAAAAGTATGATTTGTTTTTTTTTTAAATATTTATGCAATATTCATCTGAAATAGATTTCTTTTAGGTTGGATGGAATTGTCAACCAACAAGACAAGTAATTATGGATGATTGTGAAGTACCTGTTGAAAATCTTATTGGAAAAGAAGGTCAAGGTTTTGAAATAGCTATGCGTGGTTTAAATGGTGGTCGAATTAATATTGGTAAAAAAGAAAATAATTTGAATAAAATGTTTTATTTTATTTAAATCATTTTAGCTAGTTGTTCACTTGGTGCAGCACAAGCAAGTATTCAAAAAACCGGTGAATATTTAAAAGTACGAAAACAATTTGGTCGACCTCTCGAGCAATTTCAGGTAAAAATTTATAGTTTCTTTTTTTTTTCTTAATTATTAAGAATTATTTTGTTTTGTTTTTCAAGCATTTACAATTTAAATTAGCAGAAATGTGTACAAAATTAGTTGCAAGTCGATTATTAGTACGCAAAGCTGCTTTAGCACTTGATCAAAATGCAAAAGATACAGTACCTTTATGTGCTATGGCTAAATTATTTGCTACTGATGCATGTTTTGATGTGAGTATTAAAATGAATTATTATTCATACTGATCTAAAATACGACGCATTGTACAACATAACGTACGGTACAATAACCTTTTTGTTACGGAGCCCATATATATATGAATTAAGCTTTTGTGCAAATTATAACTTATGAAATCTTCTCTCTTTCTGTTATTCTTTTAGTATTACTGCATCATTATATGATTTCACTGTGAACGTGTGTCAAGTGGAAAAGAAAGAATTGTGAATTTAGTGGTCTATGAGAAATCCTAGGCTTTCCATATCCAGAATCGTTCCAAGGCCTTTGAAATCGAATAAAAATCCGTATAATTCAAGAATAATAGTCGTACGAGAAAGTTGCGCTTACTGCTGAAGCTCGTATCTTACAGAAGATCAGACGTTCAATATTATTAGATCTATATTATGATATGAAACAATAGGACTATTCATATGGATATGCAAAAGACTTTGTAATGTTTTGGACAAGTCTACAAGTATTGAATTGTATAGTGTTGGTTGAAATTTAACAGAATTTACTAGTTTACTTTGATGTATATTATCCGATTCCTAGCTTCTATAAGCAAACTCATATTTTTTTTTGTTATTATTGCAAATACCAGATAACAAAAGGGTTAAATTGTGACATTACATGTTCGCTGCAACATATCTTTCCGAGCCTGAGTAGGAATCAAAACGGCCGATTTGCTAGTCGCCAGCCTGATCTAATTGAACTTTAATAATTGGCTGGTTTTAGTCAGATTTTTATCAATTTTTGAGGACAATGAAGCTAGTCAATTTTAGTCATCATCAAAATGCCACCTAACTACCAACGACAAAATTAACCGTACACTTGATTTTTGATCTAAAAT